GAGGAGCCGTAACGCGAACGATTGTTGAGGAAATCGCGTATATGCTGGACAATCAAATCGATGGCAACTGGAAAAAGAGAATTTTTGTTTATTTTATAGTAAAATGTAGTTCTACTAGTAGAGTAGTTTTAAATGCAGTTTAAAAATATATCATTAATTAAAAAAAAATAATAATAATTAGTTAGCTAAAGAAGCAAACGAAATCGACTTAATGAAGTTGGAAAAATTAAAGCTTACCTGTTAGCTTTTCTTTTGGGGGCGGACTTCGAAGGCGATACGAGTAGATTTGTTACTGGTGAAAACTATGAACTGTGTCCAGTGATTTCGTGATTAAATACAAGTTGGACTTTTTTATTTACTATGCGAGTGGTATGTATGTACATTAGACCGTACCAGAAAAAAAGGTTAGCCGTACATCCTAGAGTCTAAAACAAGCAATTGCAACATACATTTTTTTTTTTTTGGCAAAACGGTGTGGTCGTGATTTTACATGTTTCGTCATAACTTCGGCATTTACAGTCGGATCTTAGAGTGTGATATGGCCCAAAACACTGGTGACTGGTGTTTTGTGTTGTAAAACATATCCTATATGCTTTCGTTTTCACAAAAAAATTAGGCGTAAATAGTAGACATTTTAAAAAATATTTAAAGTCGTGACTGGTGAACAGGCCCTTGTGACAATTGTAAAGTAATTATGAGTGAAGTAAACGTTTCCATACACGAAAATTACAGCTTCTTTTTGTTTTGTTTTTTTTTTTGTAACATTTTTCATCAGATTAGATAACGAAATGCAGTCATTTACAAAGAGGGTACTACTGAAATAGGTAATATTAAGGCATTTTAGTCGTCCGGAAATGAAATTGATGACTTATGCTTATATATAAACGGTTACCACTCCACATTTTTTCGCTTCTTCACTACAAGGAGCCTAACCTTCTCGGCAACTATTTTACAACAAGGACGAAAGCTGCGTATTCTCGTCGAAGGCAAACTAATTCCAACGGTGAATAACCGGAAAATTGTCAGATCTAGCTCTCGTTCCCGTAGCGAGCCGTAGTCCTCAATTCGGCAGTACTTGGCCAAATACAAAGAAACGGTATTGCAAACATACAAAGTGGTCCGGTTCTAAATTATGCAGCGCCTGTGTGCTCGCCGGGGACAATTGGTTCGCAGTGGACGAAACTAAAGACATGCCACAATACAACACCCTGGACAACCAGAGGATGTCTTCTGATGTCGCCTGAACATCACATCCACAGTGAAGCCGAAATTCTCCCAGTAAGGTGCTACAGTTGTCAGCACTCGAACTTGCTTCAGCTGAAGGACCAGGTCCGGTACTACGCACAGGACCCCTGGGACTGGGACTGTACAGACAGGCTATTAACGGTATTTACAAACTCCAGTCAAGTGAATGCCGTCATCAGCGTCAATCACCACCTGTGAACGAGAGTGAGCTTCAACTGCCACGAGATACCCCAACGAGATGGCCCAACTCGCCTCCCAACATCGAAAATGAGTGTCCAGCATGTGGAGATTCCCTCCTTGACACCAACCACCTCTTCACATTCTCACTCAATCCAACTCAACTAACATCCCCCCTCTCCCTCTCGTTATACCTCATCGAAATATCAAATCTCCTGGGCCTACCGTTAGTTGAGCCTGCGGACAATTACGGGCGAAGTAAGTCCTTACAACAATAACAACAACTGTGTCATTTATGCATTATTTTTGAGTGAAAACAGAAGACAATCATGACAAAAATCCCGACAAAATATAAAAATAATTAAAAAATCGCGGGATTTGGTCGTGTCTGGATAATGTCTTTCGGGATTCTGTATTTCGGTATTTTGTATATCGGGATTTCATTACACAACCGTTAAAAAATTGCAATTGAATTAATAAGTTCAATCAAATATTACAATACGGTTGTCAATGAAAAAAAGTTTAAGAGAGCTAAATTTCGGAGATATTTTTGAAGAGGGTTGCCACCTTTTTAAAAATAAAATTTTGCAGGCAGATGATTTGTGACCTGGAGTGAAAAATATACTACCTCCTTAACCGCTTTCTCGGCACACTTACTACGGATTTTCCAAGGATGGTCTTAGACTTAAAATAATTCCGATAAATTAAGGGTTGGAATTTTCATATTGCATACATATCTCTGGAAGTATTTGTGAGAGAGTACTGGAACTGGGTTTGGGGATATGTATGTATGTCAAATCAAATTCATACTCACGGAGAAAAATGGGCGTGGAACCTCCTCCCATACTAACTGAAACTTTCATATTGCATATCTCTTCCAAAATTTGGAGTAAAGTACTCAAGCTTGGTATGGTGATATGTATGTATGTGAAATCAATCCCATACTCATGGAGAAAGGTGGGAGTTAATAGACAAGGGGGCAAGGCAACTCCCATGCAAATTAATTTTTTTTCTGCTGCATATCTCTGAAGCTGTTTATTGCAGAGGACTGGAACTTGGCACCGAGATGTGTATACAAAACTAATTCCATGCCCATGGAAATAAATTGGGGCTATTCGATAAGGGGCGTGGTATCTCCTGTACAAATTTTCTATTTTATACTGCATATCTCTAGAGGTGTTTATGTTATAGTACTGGGACTTAGTACTGGGATATATAAAAAAAGATTACACGTTTTAACGGCCTAAATACCTTAACTGCTATAACCAAAAGGGCAGAGAAATAAAATATCACATCTTCAAATTATTTTTCATATTTGTATAAAAACGTGAGGTGAACCCCTCGGGAAAAAGCTAGTATTTTAATAAAAAAAAATATATAATAATTCTAAACTTCAAAAAAAACATTGGCCAAAATGAGAAAATATAAACATGTTGGGCGGGGTTCGGCCAAAACAAAAAATTGTTTGTTCTTCGAAATTGCCTTGAAAACTTACTACTTTTGGCTTAGGGGTGTATGACGAACTTCGGTTTGTTTGCTTGTAAAATATTTAGTACGGTCTAATGTACATACTTATAATTATATTGATATTTATTACTTAAGATCTTAAAGTGCTTGTACTTACTATACAATGAATAAAATTATAATTTTACATAGTTTAGTAATTAGCATTATATTTCATACCTACTTTGGCGCATACTTTATGAGGCCAGCTGGTGAGTACACAGAACAAGTATAAATTGCTCGACTTCGAAGGATGTGTTCACCTGCACGAATGCTTTTGGTGTTTTCCCCCAATCGCTTTCGAAGCTTCACACTTCTAACATCTAGAATAGTTCGAACTCTTAACTATGCTGCTATCAGAGGGAGCGTCTGAGCAGACACTTGCTGGCAGCAGAACCAATCTCTGGGCACGTCAGTAGGCACCACTACTAATTCACGGACAAGAACCAGACATTGCATCGACAGGCCATCAACGGTATCTGTCGATAAATAATCACCACCATTGCAAGTCAAGAATGCCCCCGCAAAAGAACCAAACGGGAACAAACGTAACGGGAACAAACAGCAGTTTGAACGGGAACAAAAGGTTCGAGAACATTTTCAAATAGAACAAAATAAGCATAGAACTCTCAAAAACGTCTCCAATGAGAACAAAAGTATCGAGAACGTTTTTCAAGGAAGATCTGAGAAAGGTTCCGATAGAATTCGAAGTCAGAGGAAAGTTCGATCATTTCAACTTCCGGATCGTTTCTCATTATCCATTTATAGAAAAAAATTTAACTTTCTGTGCAAGAAAAGTTCGCATTTTAAGTCTTTTATTGACTTAATGCGCGTAGTTGCCATTCAGTTCATTTTTAAATTATTTTAATATTCAAACATTTCAAACTAATGCAAGGCTATGAGAAAAGTTCCGAGATTATTTTTTTCCACTTCGTTCTCTGTCAAAAAATTCTGATACTTTGGTTCCCAAACGTTCCGGAGACTTTTGTTCCCATTTTGCTATCTTAGAAATGTTGCCGAAAGTATCGCTCGCATTTTGTGCTCTTTGGGAACGTTCCAAAGGGTTTTATTCTTATATAATTCCCGTTGAGAAAATTCTCGACCGTTTCGTTTTCACTTTCGTTCATATAAAAACACTCCTGAGGTTTTGTTTTTATTTCGGTTTGGGATTTTAAGCATTCTTGGGAAAAAAATAGGATAACGATATTCAGTTTCGATCACACCTTGTGTTGTCGGTCCCTGATTTCAAGTGAGCCCAACTAAGTTCGTTCAGAACGTTTCTTTGTCCTACCATTAGTTGTGCTTGACGAAGACGATTGCTACTGGCTAGGAAATTGAGAACTTTATTGCTTGAACTGAGAGAAGGCTATCAAACGTTAGTGCAGGAATCGTGAATGTAGAGTCCGCACCTGATTGAGTTTTTAATTGAAGAAATTTTCAAGATCAGATTCCTTTCATATTGGCTGCGAATATTTTATTTTGCGTCCATTCTTCTTCTTCTTTATTGAAGCTGTAACCGCCTAGCCGATTTTACGTCTATTAGTTACGTAGAAATCGTTGGCATACACTTAATTGGCTTCAGTTGATGATTGAGAGGTGAAATGCGAATATGGGTGTCCTGAGATTGTTCTTGTTGTTTTAACAACATAAAATGTCATCACAGTTTTGGGGCGCTCGGCTTTCGCGAGTCGAGTCGTATCGACAATTACATGGCATTTTTACATGAAGTGCTAAATCTTTTCTCTACAATTATTCTCAAGTATTTCCGTCCCTTATGTATATATACATACATACACTATACACCTCAAACCTTCTGTGCTTAAATGAGCGGTTATTTGTACCTAAAAGCGTCGCTTATTTATTCGTTCAATTTTATCAACCAAAGGTAGAAGGTTGTATCCATTAGTTTATGACGGCAGAACGATTTACAGATGCATTTGGTTACAAATGCACCTTATTTATCTTATCAGTCTGCTTACTTATATTGATAGTATGCAGTACATGCTTTGCCATTAATATAGAACATATGCTACTTGTTTAATCCCGAATTTTGTTCAAAACATAAGCAGTAAAAATAAAGTGATGCAATTGATTTCTGTAATATGACCATACTGACAGTGATAGCTCAATAAAATTGTTCAATATAATAGTGATTAATAGAGATTTTGTCGCTTAGATTGTTCTAATTTAAAAAATATACATACATATCTGTGACATTTTATTAAGCAACTTATATCAACATAGGCCATTTTGTCTTTAAAGGAATTTTTTTTTGGTTTTGAAAACAATATTTTAACGATTGACTAGCCATAGGTTTAGTTTAAGGTAACCGTTTAATATAAACTTAATAAAAATATAATATTTGTCAAAGGAAACTTATTTGTTTTTAAATCAAAAGTCAAACCTTCTAAAGTCACATACGCTTGTATTTTAATAAGATGCCATAGATATATATGTACATACATATGTTGCTATAAGTATATCAACACCTATTTTCGCTGAACGAAAATCACGCAAACTTCTTGAGTTATCATAATTCGTTGCTGATTTTGACCGTTTGTTTTCTTGCTAAAAATATTTTGAGTTTAAGCGAACTTTTTTAAAAATAATTTCATTTGCGTTTTGCTACAAATATTTTTATTAAAGCGACAATAAATTTTCAGATGGGTATCTTTACGCTTAATTTTTGTTTTTAACAAAAATAACTTTAATCTATGAATGTATGTATGTATTAGAATTGCCTAAAAAAATTTACGTTTAATAATTGAATGCGGTAGGTAGGCATAACTTACTATATAATTTAGATATGTATGCAAGTAGTGAAGTTCTATATGTATGTAGTTAGATATTTCCATCTACAGATATTTTGAAAAATATGTATTCTTAGTCGAAAAGTAGAACAATTGAAAGTTTACATGTATAAATGCTTTAAAATAGAAGATCAATAGAAAATACATTTAAATTAGTTAAATTATAGTAAGAAATTTGTAGAATAAAGTTAAATTTAACTATAACTTTATGTTATTTATTATACTAGTTGGCCTATTTATCTATTCCAAGCTGTATATTTGTGTATTCTTAATTGTGTTATTGACCAGCAAAGTAATGCATGGTACTTCAAAGCTTAAGGCTATTAAAAGTTACAAAAATAAAAACACGAGCGCAGATGTTAAAGAATTTGCACTTAACTAGTTTCCTCATTTTGTGCGGCCTTAATGTTATTATTACTACATTATTTTGGTTAGCGGTGCTGATAGCGTGCGCTGCACACACCCTAAAAGTTTATGTATGTATGTATGTATGTCAGTGTTTTTAAGTGTAAATGTTTGCTCGTGTGATTACTCGTGTATTGCCAATCGAATTGGTTGGTCTCTAACTTATTTTATATATTTTTTGGCTACTTAATTGTTTTCTTGCTTAATTTTTTTTTAGATAGATGGATAGATATTTAATTTTAGTGTTCGCGCATCATGCCGCCGTCAGCTTTATTATTTATTGTTGTATGTACTGACGTGGGGGCATATAGGTTGTTAGTGCTGCCGCCGGGTCTAAGAATTTCTCCGATATGATGTACAATGAGATCAATGGCAACTGTAAGAAATATAACAAGTAACAAAAAAAACGGAACTGGAAATCAAGCACGAACAGATACAACAACAACCACCAAGAAAAAATTTTAACTAGATAAATAATTTAAGAAAAAAATAATAAGGCAACAGCAACAATACAAAAATTGAGTTTGAAAATATTTGCGCGCGATTTTTATGTTGTTTCTTTGTTGTAAAATACAAATCTAGAAAAATGTTGTGTAGGAGTTTTTGTTTTGCATTTTGTGTACTTGAGAAATATATACATATGTACGTAAGTTCGAAAATAGATTAATTTAAGCTCTTAGAAATTTGCAAAAAATAGCTAAGTAACTAAGCTATTGCTCTAAAACTCTGCAAATCAACATAGTAACAACCAAAGAAGCGCAACTAAATGCTACTTAAAGAGTAGAGAGTATACAAATAGTATTTTAGCTGTTATCAACTGTTAACTGTTTGACATATATAAGGAAACAATAAATACAACAATAAAACGAATATGCGAATGAATCTCTACGAACCTGTGTTATCAGCGCCGCGTGGTATTATAACATCTGCGAATTTTTTCGTCTATAAATAGGACAAAAAATAGAATGCAAATAACTGCAGATGGCATAGGAACATTTCAATGTATTTTTTATCACCTACCGGGGAGCAAAATTCTTCAAAAGCCGGCTTAACGAAAGTCATATACTGTGTCAGTACAGCGTCTAAATCCCGTCCGCGTTCATTGATATCACGCGGTACTGTAATAACATAAATAAAAATTGTATACATTAATTATACGACAAATGGGAAAAATATTTGCTTATACATATGTATGACTTACCTCTTCGCGCCAAACGTGTATCAGAGTCTGTATCCACAAATAGTTTCATATGAAAGAGATCACGTATTTTGGGAAAATAGAAAACGAGTATGCCTTCAAAAAGCACCACATCAGCCGGATAGATAGTTAGCATATTTTCATGATCACTGTAAATTAAATAGATAAAATTTACTTACAAACAAATTAAAGGCGAGGATTATGAAATGAAGATAAGCAATTATTGCCTTATTTATTTGATTTAATAATGATGAGAGGGGTGTTGCATTGAATTGGAGCAATTATTCATAACTTTTTCTTTAGCGATAAGCATTAGGAAATTTATTACGAAGTCGCCGAAACGAATTAGAAACAGTATTATTGCAATCGAGTAAATCAGTATGGAACTTTATACATATATGAAATAAGCGAAGTAAAAAGATTAAATATATAGATTTACGAGTTAATGTAAGACGACGGGCAATGAACTAAGCGCTGATTATATTATAATCGCATGGAAACTAAATAAAATGATAAAGCATTGAGTACAATGTAGTCTATCTTAGCTTTTGTGTGATACTTTCCAAGCTGTTCAATTGTTTTAAGCAACCATTGTTCCGGCAACCATGACAAGTGAAAGCAAATAATTTCGAGTATAAAGGGAATGTAATATTACTGTTGAGAATTTGCTAATTGAGATGGATGAAGAGATAACTTACACTATGCAATAACACTTTTTACATTATTAAAGTTATAATACTTTAAATAGAAAATGTATTTGGGATTTTGTTGCAGCGTATTTTCATGTGATATGTACTGTGTAAGTACACCGAACTCGCAACTTTTTCAATTAACTTTTTAAAAATGCTTTATGTGAATTAATTGCTTAAAGACTAAAGTCTTACTTACAGCGAATTTGAGCGATAATCATAGCATGGCACTTTAACAATTTTGCCCTTTAATATATCCTGCAATGAGTCATACATCAAATTTTCATTGAACGCATCCGGGTGATCGAAATTGAAGAGGCCCTTTTGCGCTTTTATTTTTTCCGCTGCTGTTAATTCGCGGTAAAAGCTATCTTGGCTGATTGTAACCACCTAAAGACGGTAAAAAAAACACGAAATGAAGAATTTTGATCCCATAAAGATCTCCATATTCCTTAAAGAGTATTGACATATGTGATTACCTGCCGTTGCGCTTGCTCCATATCAGCTTGACCCAGCTGTTCCATTATCTTTTTACATACTGTCGACTAAAAATAGAGGAATTCATCTATAATTAGTGGCTAGAAAAATTCAAATACAAATGCCTGAATAGTAAAAGGACTTTCGAGATTGTATGCAGGTTCTTACATTATCCTAATGACTGAGACTATAAACGATTAACTGTTTCGCTACTGCAGACTTCCCCAAAACTAAACTCGGTTGCACTAATAAACCCTTGCATCCAAAGCTTTGAACCAAACCTAAGCCTGGACCTGATTATCGGCAGCATTCATTCAATGCGCAATTTACGCTTATTGATGTGTTAGCAAACAAGTGCATATTTCACAACTATTCCTTTATTACCACTTGCAAACTAAACATTTTGTGCCACCATTCGCACCACCCACATTACTATGTGTACTTACCTTTCCACTGGCTGTTCCACCCGCCACTCCAATCAGAAAAGGCGTTTTTATATCTGATTTATGATCATTGTTTGGGTTCAGCAATGTTTTGTCGACGTCCATTATTGTTATATGCAATTGGTGTTGGCAGCGGCGCACTTTAAAATTTTATATTTCCACTAATAATATGCACTACTATAATATTTTTACTGGAGAGAAAAACTTTATTGAACCAGAACCAACCGCATTGTATAAATCAGCTTCAATCAGCTGATAAGCGTAGTGTTGCCCATTGAACCAGAAAAGCAGATAAGATGGAGCAATCAAATATTTTGGGGCATTATTTACATTAGTGTTCAGTGGGAGTATAATAATTTAGACATGATAAGTATCTTTCTTTTAAATGAATCTGCAATTACAATAAACCAAGTTTTATGCAAAAATGGAAAAATAATGAAATTGTTTTTAATTAGGTGCGTTCGTTTAAAATCTCCAACAGAAACCAACCAACTGCCAAATTCCGGCGATATGTCATCTGTTCGCTCACAAGAGAGAAATATCCAAAATAGTACGCGAACAGAAAATTTGCAGAAACTTGCAAGTTAGACGAACAGCTGATATAATTTTTGTTTACATTCAAAAGTGTAAAATTTAAAACGTTCGAAAACTCATTAAAAAGTGGTATCCTGGCACAGTTTATTGATTAAACAAATAACTACTTACTTCTTACAAGTTTAATTAGTCGCATTTTGTAATTTTTAACTTCCAAACCATCAAATTCAATTTTGTGATTTGCGTAAATGCCAACCAGCTGTTTTTGATCAGCTGTTTTCCTGTTGGCAAATTGCTGTTGGCAAAAATTTTTCCAACAGAAACCAGCAGCTTCCCCTCAAAATGAAATGTCACTTTGCTCTCTCAATTTCCCCTACTTTGCAAGTTTTTTGCGTACGCGAACGCAAAAACTTGTAAGTTTTGGTTAAACATGAACAATTAACAGCTACGCGAACGAACCTATTGATAGTTAAGGAATTTTGCACACTGGCAGCACCCGTAGGTAAAAACATATGATTACGCCATGTTGCCACATAACATTAAATTTACAGATTCTTTCAGAAATGCCGCTGAATTCGGAGGAATCAAAGAGCAAGTGCAAGAATTAGGGTTTTATTTGGAATTTTCACTATTTAAATAGATGAAAACTTAATGGTTGTCCACTTGTTAACGTTTTGAAAGTATTTGTAACGCAAATTAATTAACTTTTTTGAATATATAATATACAAATTCAAACATTAACATACTTCCGTTTTAAAACTTTTTTAGCTCAAATGCAAGCCTGTGCTTTGCTTACTTTTTGGCGCCATAGAACAGTTATTTGTTAATTTCCGTTTTCGCGAGTATTAATTCTGCTAAAAATACGAGAGAAAATGTACCAAAAGTGATAAAAAGGTGTTATTTCCACATAAACAATAAAAACAATAGTGCCGTATCGATTAATAAATTGCAAAAGAGTGATGCCGTGTGTGTGTGTGTGTATGATTGTAAACAGGCCACCATTTAGATGTTGTTTTTGTAAGAGCATCTCGCAATCCCCGAATTGATTGGCTGTTTATTCATTTTGCAAATCTTTCCGCGTCGCACATATGTATAAAGGTTAGTATTCTGTTCACAACGATGTTTAATTTCTTTGTTAAAAAATGGAACTAAACAATTCTCCAGTGTGACCGCGTATTTTATTTACTTCAAGAAGAAAATTATTTGCAACATCAATGCCGTTCCCCACAGAGCAAAGACTAGCTATATATGTATGTTGTAGAGTATGGTTTTACTGAATAAAAAATTGATATGACAACCATAAGGAATCGCCTCTACCTTCGTCCAATACGATGGTCTTTACCAAGGCACATTAAACAGGTAGTATCAGTAGAGCAAAAACAACATTTGCGTGTAGGTATTTTGTTGTTGCTTCTGGTATCGAAAGTGTCAAAAACTGTTCTGAATTTTTTCTTCTAAATCAAAGCGTGCCATGTGAAATACAAAAAATTATAAAAAATAAAAAATTGAAATTGGAAAAAATAAAAATTGATGCAACTTTCTTTCCTAGTAAATTTGTTTGCTTCTCGAAGCATTGATCCATCCTTTGCAAGGCCCAGTAATCAGCGGTCGTGCTGCCGAGTTGGGCGAACGTTCCAAAAGCTGCTATTCAATCGCTTGTTTTGTATGGAAAAAGGTTTCACATGCAAATGGATTTTAACAATTCAGAATTTTTGTAAGAAAAAATTAAAAATATTTGACATTTTCGAGACCAAATAATTTGAAAATAAATCAAATCAGCTGCTCTACTGATACTACCTGTTCAATGTACCTTGGTCTTTACATTTCTCTTAGAAGTCATACTTTTTCCGTGCAGTTCACTTAGTTAAAAAATTATTTATTATTATTAAATTATTATATAATTATTATATTATTATATAAATATTATTATAACTAAAACAGAAGCTAGAAATTGAACTAAAGCTAGACACACACGCCAAAGGTACACACAATATTGCCTGCCGAGGGGCGACCGCTATTAGAAAAAACCATTTTTTTTTTGTTTATTTCATTTTTTGATGTTGGCCCTGCGGAATGGTAGCACGCAGCGGTCGCTAATTGTTAGTTTTTGGAAAATTTTTAAATCTTCTTTATTCCTCTGCAGTCATATTTGTTGCGTTTATCGTTATGTACTAACATTAGTTCGCTTACTAAAATATTTATCAAACTATTAAAAACGAGCCATTCTCTTGGAGTGTTCAAACCAATCATAAATATGATAATAATAGCAGGGCTGCAAACCGGTTTTGAACTGAACCGGTTTTTGAACCGAACCGCCGCCTTTTTCGGGCTTCGAACCGACCCATGAACTGAACGGTTTTTATTTTGAAATACCAAAACCGAACCGAAAATCACTCCAAAAAATGGTTCGGATCGGTTCAAAATGAAAATCCACTAAAGCATTTTTCAAGTTTTAAGTCTAAAAATGCAACCCGTATAGTAAAACTATAATTTAGATGAAACTGTGAAGAATATTCATAATTTTTGCATAAAATTTGAAAATTGGGTTTATATGGTAAAAAAAAATAAACATTAAATAAAGAAAAGAAAAATAGCCAATACTTGATGGTGTCGTGTCCCTATCTTTTACACCACTATTCATGTGGATATTTAAATTTGATCCCAATAACAAAGCCTTTAAATTTTATATTATGGATTTGTCTTAGTTTTGTAATATTTATCAGGATCATAATAATGCTTAAGGATAAAGTGAATAATTTTAGAACGACAAAAATAGAAAAACAAAATTCTTTAAATGGGTGTTTTTTCCCCTTAAGTAATTTTTCTCAAATTTTTCTAATAACCTATACTACGATGCCAATTTTTTTTAAATCAGTTCAAAATTGTTTGAAGTATAAGGTTATAGCACCTGTATTATAAGTTTGCACAAAAAAAGTTATACATACATATATAGCGTCGGTGATACTGCAAAACGTTCTATGTCACTTATTACCTCTGGTGCTTAGTTGATCTGTTATCTGTACCTGATCGCTTCTGGCAGTCGTTCATCTTCATCAGCCAAAGCTAGACTGTTTTGTCTTTCGTTTATTAGGGTGTAACGACTTGCAGATGCATTCCGGTGCAAGTAAGAGACCATCTAAGTGTCAAGGGCACTAATGACTTAGACCGTTTTGCAGTATCACCGACTATATACCGTTTAAATAAGAGCAAAAGGCGCACTACGTCTATTATTTTACATTTTTAGTTATTTACATATAATAATTAAAAATTAATAAAGGTCCTCTTTCGAGCTTCGAACGCCTACATATCGATTTCGGAGCCTAACTTCGACGTGACTAGAAGAGGGCAATGGAATTTCCACACTTCCTTTTTGCAATTTTTTTTTCAATTTAATTTTCTTCTAATGTTTAGATGTTGTTGTTTTAAAAAGAAGATTTTTTTTAATTGCATTTATATTTTGGGAAATTATTTTTGGTTTTCTTTAATAAAATATTTATTTTCTTCGTTTTTAGTTTAATGTTCTCTGCATTTTTAGATTTTATTGATACAAAAATATTACTTTATTTAATTTGATTTTTAGAAACTTATTTTATTTGTTTTCTTTTCTTAATTTAATTTGGTGTTCCGTCGTTAATTTCATTTTATTTTAATTTTTTGATTTTATATTAAACAATTTTTATTGAGCTTGAGGCCGTTTTTAATTGAAAATTATTGTGGAAAAACACCAAAAATTTTTAAATGGTAGATTTTGAGTTTTATGTTAAACAAAAAAAAAACATTTTTTATATCAATTAATTTTTAGGATCTTATTTTATTTATTTGTCTTTTTTATTTTAATTTTCTTTTAATATAAGACTTTTTTTTAAATAATTTTTGTTTTTTTTTAATTTTTTTTAATATTATTCTTTTTTGATTACATTTTTTCTTTTGGTAATTAAATTTTTAAAAATGTTTTCTATTAATTTTTGTTTAACTTTTATTTTTTTAATTTTTAATTTAAAGTTCTTTTATTGATTACTTTTGACTGTTTTAAAAAAGGAAATATAAATATGTATATATTTTTTTTTAAGAGTTTTGTCCTTCTAAAGACTGTATTGAATTGAAAGACAGTTGCCAAAAATGCCCTGTACTTACTCATCTCCTTTTTGTCCAAATATCTTACCTTTGCGACTAGTGTTACGAACAAATTATGTTTAAAATAATTTAAAAACCGAACATTATAAACTTACTGCTGTCTTTTTTTATCGTTTTTATTGCCTTTTTATTCAAACTTTAGTAGTTGTGTTAAAACATTTGTTACTATTTATGCCATCTTAAATAATTTGCGTATAATTATTATAAAAAAAAAATTCAACAATTATAAAGAATAATCTGTTAATAAGAAATAAATATTTCAGTAGATAAATTTTAGCATACAAATATTTTCCTCATTATCATTATATTAAAAACAAACAATCTCAATGTGTTAGCTAAGTCTCTTAATAAATTACATAAAAAATGAAAAATAGTTAAACAAAACACAGTCAACTCCACTTAGGAGGGACGTGAAAGGACAATTCAATACAGATCATATTGTTGTTAGAGTATTTGTGTAAGTAAATTTTTACTTTCCCATACATCTTCAGTTCAGTTGAATTAAATGCATCAATATTTCATTAAGTTCAGTAAAAAACAAATATTAAATTATAATCTATAAGAAATAACATGAAATACTAGTGATGGCCACGGGAAATGGTTGAGGGACAAGCTTCATTGATTTAAAGCTTCGTCGATCAAGTGAAATAATTCAAACTAAGTTAGATAATGTATAGGTATTACGATGGCTGAGGCTGCTAAATATGACACCTCGGATTATGTCAGAAATAAATCCAGTGATGCTTGTTCTGGATAATCTGGTTGCAGAAAATCACTAAACGGATTGAATGTATCCAATGCCACTAAGGGACTAATGCATGTCGTTGGGGGTTGTTCCATTGAAAAGTCCAACGACTCTGGCGCTGTGCCAAGAAACTGTAAGCTCAGCTCCAAAGGCGCATCAATATCACCTAAAATATTATGGTCCACAGCCGACTTGCCCTCCAAAGCATTAGCGCTGCCGAAGAGCCTATCGAATTTGTCTTGCAATGGACTGTGGCAAGGGTCGGAAAGATGCAGCGATTCGCCATCAGATTCTAGTATTAGGCTATTCAGCTCGGACATGGATGGCACAAAGCCATTGGAGTAACTTGGACTGGTTATACTATCGAGGAAACTAGAAGAGTGTGATGAGAGTGAATCTCCACTGCAGGTAACAAAAGAGGAAGCAGAAGTGGCTGTACTTGACGTGGCACGGCTTGATTCTGGCGTGGTGTTACAGCTATTACGCTGCGTTATCGTCGGTGACTTTAATTCCTTCTTTTTACGTTTACCCAAACGTTTGGGCGGTTTTTGCAACACAGCGCTAGCCGTTGTACGTCCTGTTGTCGCCTTATTTGAAGGCTTGTTATTTTTCGACGCTGCGGTTGTAGATTTCGACTGTGTTTTCAAAGGTTTGGAGGCGACTTTCTGCTTTATCACTGGCTCTTCATTCCCATATAGGAAGTCTAGAGGCAATTCACCTTTAAAGTTGGGATTATTCAGCACCTCCGTTAGCAAACTGATATATTTCATGGCCAAACGCAACGTCGTTATTTTCGTCAGCTTCTCATTTGTGGGTCCCGCCTCATCGACTGCGATGCTTTGCGGCACACAATGCCGCAAATTCTCAAACGCTGAATTGATTTCACGCATGCGCGTACGTTCGCGCGCATTGGCGGTTTTTCGACGATATTTACTAAGTGGCGGCGCTTTCGACTTGGACGTTGTAGTGTTTTGTGTGCGCTGCGGTCCTGTGGTCGCTTCGCTGTCATCTGTAAGAAATAATTAGTTGATACTTTAGTACCGACACTACCAAATAGCTGCATTAGTTGAAGATTGTATGCACGCTTATGTGCGAGCTTACCCTTGTGGTTTGAACGTTTCGGCAACTCGACCACACTGGCTAATCCAAGTCGACGCTTTTGGCGTTCACGCAGCGAATATTTCTCTNTCGACCGCACTGGCTAATCCAAGTCGACGCTTTTGGCGTTCACGCAGCGAATATTTCTCCTTGCGGCTACTGACTTTACTGCTTTTACACTCTTCTGCACCCCGCTGGCTGCTGGCTAATAGTGTGCCGTAATCTTGCATTCTGCGGCACAATTAGGATTTATTGAGGAGAACTGAAATGAGTCAGAATGAAAGGTGCATTTTGGATTAATTTTTTAGACAAAAGTAAGCATGAGCTAAATTTTAAATGGCTATTATTTCTGATATGATAAATGAGAAATCAAATATAGATTTCCATTTGAACTATGAAAGAAATTTCAGACCATAATTGGTTGATTCACCTTATGCACGTCATTTGGGACCACAATGAAAGTAGCAACGATGTATTCGACCTTTATCTCAAAGTGGCATGTCTCAAATGAGAAATCTATGTGGGACTACCGGCATATCCGATTCGATATAGAAGCCCAAAGGATAACAAACCATGTTTACAGAAATCCCAGAAAAACTAATTTGAAACTCTTTCGCCTCCACATAGAGCGGGAAGTGAATAGGTCTACGGCACCAATTTCATCCGTATATGAACTTAAGGACGAGGCGACAATGTTCCAAGATGTCCACAAACAAGCTTTTGAAGAGAGCTGCCCACTGAGAACTAAGAAGTCTCACAGGGATGTCGCTTGGTGGAACGATGCTCTCGGGGAAACTTAGGAAAGCAGCCAGGAATTAGGAATCAGGAAATCAGCCCTAACCGCTTGCAACTGTGAGCTCAGAAGGTCTAAAAGGGCTACGTGGTGTGGCTGACTTTCTCGCAAAACGTGGAGCCCAAACGCGAATGCATGGTCCCGAGCCTTTCTGTGGTACATCTAGAGGATACACTGCAGAACTGCTTAGGAGTTGGGAGGAATCTCAGATTGCTGCCCACTGGCGTAATGGGGCTTTCTGTAGAGGTAGAGATGGACTGCAGGTTCTGTGGGCTGGCGGAGGAAACCCCAGTGTNTAGGATTTATTGAGGAGAACTGAAATGAGTCAGAATGAAAGGTGCATTTTTGATTAATTTTTTAGACAAAAGTAAGCATGAGCTAAATTATAATGGCTATTATTCCTGATATGATAAATGAGAAATCAAATATAGATTTCCATTTGAACTATGAAAGAAATTTCAGACCATAATTGGTTGATTCACATTTTGCACGTCATTTGGGACCATAAAGAAAGTAGTTACGGTGTATTCGACCTTTATCTCAAACTGGCATGTCTCAAATGAGAAATCTATACCGGACCACCGGCATATTCGATTCGATATAGAAGCCCAAAGGGTAACAAACCATGTTTACAGAAATCCCAGAAAAACAAACTGGAAACTCTTTCGCCTCCACATAGAGCGGGAAATGAATAGGTCTACGGCACCAATTTCATCCGTCGTAAAGGGATGTCCCTTGGTGGAACGATGCTCTCGGGAAACTTAGGAAAGCAGNTAGAGGATACACTGCAGAACTGCTTAGGAGTTGGGAGGAATCTCAGATTGCTGCCCACTGGCGTAATGGGGCTTTCTGTAGAGGTAGAGATGGACTGCAGGTTCTGTGGGCTGGCGGAGGAAACCCCAGTGTACATTCTGTGTGACTGCCCGCGTATCATGAATAGCAGACTGATGCACCTTGGGGAACGATTGTCTTCTCCATCCAAGATTTGGAAAACGGCACCCTCCAATGTGCTTAATTTCTTGAATAGCCTAAGGTTTGAGTGACTACAATTAGGGTTCNGCAGCCATCCAAGATTTGGAACACGGCACCCTCCAATGTGCTTAATTTCTTGAATAGCCTAAGGTTGGAGTGACTACAATTAGGGTTTAGCACAATAGATCTTTTAGGTCGCAGCGCGAGTATACCCGACGTACTAATAATAACTATGGTGTATGGTCTTGTAAATATAGCAACCCTTAGATCCTGATGAGGCCATAGCAAAATGACCATCTGCAAGGGAGCCTCTCGTATTGATTAACTTAGACGTGGTGTAATCTGTGGCATAGCCAGCTACAATCTAGCGAATAGTTTGAATGTAAATATATGAAATTTTTCCTCAAAATACCATGGAGCTAAAAGTATGAATAAGAGGAACTAATCGCTCTTGGGTACACATACCGTAGGTTGTCCTTTCTGAAATGTTTTGGAAATACAAAAATATTAAAAAAAATTTGATCCACCAGTCTAAACGGATTACAAATCCATTTTTTCGTACCCTATAAACCTTCATATCATATCAGGATACTCTTCGCAATCGAAGCGTGTCTTTGAGAATGACTTGGTAGCAGGACAGCAGGACTTGGTAGGAGGCCACATACTCATTTAAAATGGCATCAGTGTTTGTGGAAAGTGGTCAGCCAAGTGACAATCAGGGGTCTAGATCGCCCACAATTACTTAAGAATAAGGCTAATTTCGGTTCCAGGGTACAGAGATATTGCAGGAAACTGCATGTTTGATGAATAGCTNAGGTTTGAGTGACTACAATTAGGGTTCAGCACAATAGATCTTTTAGGTCGCAGCGCGAGTATACCCGACGTACTAATAATAACGATGGTGTGTGGTCTTGTAAATATAGCAACCCTTAGATCCTAATGAGGCCATAGCAAAATGACCATCTGCAAGGGAGCCTCTCATATTGATTAACTTAAACGTGGTTAACTTGTCGAAGCGCGTCTTTGAGATTGACTTGGTAGCAGGACAGCAGGACTTGGTATGAGGCCATATATTCATTTAAAATGGCATCAGTGTTTGTGGAAAGTGGTCAGCCAAGTGACAATCAGGGGTCTAGGTCGCCCACAATTACTTAAGAATAAGGCTAATTTCGGTTCCAGGGTACAGAGATATTGCAGGAAACTGCATGTTTGATGAATAGCCCAAACATGGTACATTCGAATTCCCTTCATAACGTGCGAACTCTTTCTGTACAGGTGGCTGTTAGTTGGCTCTCCTAGTGCAGTGCGAAAACACCCGAATTGCAAAGTACTTTTGAGCGTTGGTCAGTAGAGCGTCTTAAGCTGTCTCAGAGTAAAATTTTGGTCTTGAAAGCAGTCCTTACCGACCACTGTCCAATAGGAGCCCATGCAAGCCGACCTAATCTGTTGCGGTCCCCTAAGGCCGTAGCAGCAAAAGGATATCACTAGGCCATCACATAGTCACTATTTGGTGAGCTCTCGGATATGGCAACATAGCAGTCAGGTCCCTCTACTTTGTGTGACAACATCAAGGCGGACAACAAAAATCGGAGAAGAAGCTCGGCCAAGTACTAGCAAATATGTAAACGNCAATTACTTAAGAATAAGGCTAATTTCGGTTCCAGGGTACAGAGATATTGCAGGAAACTGCATGTTTGATGAATAGCCCAAACATGGTACATTCGAATTCCCTTCATAACGTGCGAACTCTTTCTGTACAGGTGGCTGTTAGTTGGCTCTCCTAGTGCAGTGCGAAAACACGCGACTTGCAAAGTGCTTTTGAGCGCTGGTCAGTAGAGCGTCTTAAGCTGTCTGAGAATAAAATTTTGGTATTGAAAGCAGTCCTTACCGGCCATTGTCCAATGGGAACCCATGCAAGCCGACCTAATCTGTTGCGGTCCCCTAAGGCCGTAGCAGCAAAAGGATATCACTAGGCCATCACATAGTCACTATTTGGTGAGCTCTCGGATATGGCAACATAGCAGTCAGGTCCCTCTACTTTGTGTGACAACATCAAGGCGGACAACAAAAATCGGAGAAGAAGCTCGGCCAAGTACTAGCAAATATGTAAACGCTAAATATTTATTCCATTTAAACCGTTGCTTTGTTTCTTTTTCATCTCCAAGATATCCTTGCATATTTTTGACACGAACTCTGTTAAGACTACCGCTTCTAATTAAATCATTGTTTAGACTCTGGAGTTAAGACTTTATAGTTTTGAGTACTGTATTACAAGGAAAAAAGGTACATATTATAGAGGAGAACTTTTATACAAAAAAAAAGTGGTTTATTGTTTATACTTATATGTCTTCTCAATCCAAAATATTGATGACAAAAAATTTCTCCGCTGTGTTTCAAGGAGTTCGTATACGCCTAGTTGTTTCACGAATTTCTCAAAAGCATGTGAATTTATATTTTTTTTAAAGATAGCTGAATGTAGATTTGGTGTTCTTTGTAGTCTTTATTCTCCACTTTAACTCCCCTTAGCTATGGGCTAGGTTTAAGCCATTGCTTGTATTAGGCACATATACTATTAAGGAAGAGATCAGCAAGGAGGAAAAAGAACATAATTGGTGATGCTTTGGAGGACAACCTTAATGAGGTAAAACTTAAAATAAGTATTCTAAATGAAAAATCCGGAATTTTGTTATGGCTTCTGTTGTTCGAAGACTTGAAAGTTGCGTTGTGTTGAATAGAGTCTTTTATTAAAAAAAAAGTCGTCTAATCCAAAAAACGCAAGGAAGCTGCACCGCGAATAAAAAATAATAATTTTTCAACGTTCCTCAAAAGGCTTAGTAAACATACACTTCACTCGCTGCATTAGCAAGCAATTTGAAGTGAATGTCTGTCCATGTGGTTGGTGTTCGTTCACCTACAACCAACTTTAAATAAGGAAAAATCCAATGTAAATGCGATTGCAACTTAAAAATTTTTTTTTGTTGTTAGCTTTGGTGCTTACAACGGCATTAGTGAATTTAAAATGTTTATTTATTTTATCGAATTAATTGTTTTTAATATATACGCGATTTTCGGCATTGTTGTTGTTGTTGTTGTTGCCATTGCAATTGGGACATTATGTAGTTGTCGTGAGAATCCATTGCTCGTGTAAGCCAAACATGAATGCCATGAAACTTCCTATTAAGGAATTGAAATAGACAAAATCGGCAAATCGGTGGCGACAGAGAGACAGCGACTGCAACAACAAAGACCCGACGACGACCACGACGGCCAAATCTACATTGAATATACCCGTATATAACTACATACATATATTTGTTGCCCATTGCCGGTGTTGCCTAATCCAAGAGGTAAAGTGACGCCACCACTCACTCATTCATTCACTCGTTGACTTGTGCGGTCTAAGCCACACTACGCCCTGGTTAAAGATTTCTTATAATAATAATCGCAACACTAGGCTGTAAATGGCAATCGGATTTGTATACAGTGGTGG